GCCGGTGTTCATGTCGTGTCGAGGCTGTGTCGTCACGGGTTCATTTCGTCGAATGTTCATTTCGTCGAAAAGTATTTCATCCTCGAGCCAGAGACCGAAAGAGTTAGATATGAGGAGTGTGGGAAGTTAGTTAAGAAATTAGGTGAGGAAGGTGGTGTGTGTGGGAAATGTGAGGAGAAATTTGTTTAGTGAAGTTTTTTTTTTGTGACGAAATGAACATTCGATGAAACAAACTTTCGACGAAATGAATCAGACCCCATTTGAGAATTTCCTTGGATTTATTTCTGTATTACATAAATAATATTATTAAAAGTTTCACAAAAAATTTCAATGGCTCACTGCGCATCCTCTACTAAAACCTTGCTTATTACCAAAAAATAAAACTTTAACAAAATGTCAACTTGCTTTTCATCATTAGAAAATCTAAACTTATTATTTGACAACCTTATCAATTCCAACAACAATGCTCTTCCATTAAAATATATTGGGAAACTTGTAAAAGATTTAACAAAGTCATTGAATGAGTCTGATTTTTATGATGTAGAAATTAGTGTTGGAGTAGATGAGAATGTTAAGACTTTTAAAGCTCATTCTAACATTTTAAAAGCAAGGTCTTCGTATTTTAAAGCTGCTTTATCAAAAAATTGGATAAAAAAATCTGATGATGATATTATTTTATTTGAAAAAAAAAAACATTTCTCCAGATGTATTTGAGGTTCTTTTAATGTAAGATTATTTAATTTTAATTAATTAATTGAATGACCATAATAATTTAAATTACTTTATTTTGTTTTATAGATATATTTACAATGGAACTCTTAATCTAGATAATCCAGATGGAAACAAAATTTTTGAACTTATTGAAGCATGTGATGAATTAAACTTTAATGAATTAATTAATGATTTACAAAATTATTTGATTAATAAAAAAAAAGAATGGATTCAACAGAATTTAGTTTATGCTCATAAATTTTCATTTCATCATCAATCATTCAACTTGCTTCAAGATTATTGTTGTGAGATGATTAGTAAACATCCAGAATTATTTTTTAAATCCAATGACATTACAACAATTGAAAAATCCATGTTTATAACTATGTTAAAAAGAGATGACTTGGAATTAGATGAAATTGATATTTGGGATATTGTCATTCAATGGGGAATAAATCAAAATAAAAAATTAGACAAAGACATTTCAGAATGGAAGAAAGAGGATTTCATTATGTTAAAAAATAAAATAGAAGATATTATTCCTTTGATAAGATTCAACCAAATTTCTTCAAATGACTTTTCTGATAAAATTCTACCATTTAAAAAGGTCTTTGATAAAAAAGTATATGAGGAAATTCTTCTATACTATATTAGTGATAAATGGAAGCCAAAACTATTGCTTCAAAAAGGTCCAAGATCAAAAACAAAATTTGGAACAGACATAAAATCACAAACTGGAAAATTATTAAATTTACAAACAAAATCTCTAATTTCAAGTTGGATTGATTACAAAAATGATCTATATAATGAAAACAATATACCTTATAAATTTGAATTAATTCTTCAGGGTACTCAAAATGGATTCTCTAGGTCTGTATTTGAGGATAAATGCTATAATATTGAACAAACTGTGACCATTATGAAAATTAAAGATACAGGAGAATTGGTTGGTGGTTATAATCCAGTTAGTTGGAATATAAAAGAAATGTCACCAAATGATTGGTATTTTATTGAAACAGACAAAAGTTTTATTTTTAAAATTGATGAAAATAAGATAAATAGCTCAATATTAAGTAGAGTTATAGAACCACAACATGCAATACGCCATAATAGTCAAAAGATTAATGTAACTAAAGATAATATAAAATTCCATGAAAGTATTATGCATTTTTGGGATTTATATCTATATAATAGTATTAATAATGAACCTTATTGTGGTTATTATTATGGTAAAAATCCTACTTATGAAAATGATTTAAATTTTAGAAATAAAAATAGAGAAGTTCATTTGATAGGAGAATGTGAAGTTTATAGGATAACAAAAAAAGAATTAATTTAGAATAATTTACATGTTATTAATTTATATACACATATTCATTAATAAAAATATTATTACTGTCTTTAACCACAATTTCTGCGCCATACTGCTAAATTTCATTCAAATTATAAAAATCACTTTGGCTATTTTTAGTTGAGAATTTTTCTGACACTACAATAAACTTTACAGCTACTGAATAAAAAGAATAAAACAGAAAATTTCTTTTAAACATCACATGCAAGAATGGTGGTTAAAGACTTTGTGTACCATATTAATATTTTTATTAATATAATAAATATTAAAAAAAAAAAATCGTCAACTTTGCTTTTCATTTACACATCTATAATTGCAACACGCTTTTTATTATTATTAAATATTCTATATTACTATTATTATTATTTACGGCTATTTACGATAACAATTATATAATACTGTTTCCATGCTATTTCCGTATATAAAATACTGTATTCGTATTCGTACTGATAATCGTATTAAGACACCTATTCCATACCTTTTATACATGTGGTTTACTGTTTTGAGTCCTGTATGCTTCATACTGTTTATAATAATAATAATAACGTATTAGTATTAGTATTAGTATTAGTATTAGTATTAGTAT